GGGTTTAGGGTTGAGGGCTTAGAATTAATACTTGGAGGAAAAAGGAGAGTTTAGGGCTTTAGGGTTGAGGTTTGTAGGATTGAGGGCTTTGGTTTCATGGTTTATGGTTTAGGGCTGCAGGCTCCTAGCGCTTTAAGTTGTTGGGGCTTTCTTGGGCCTTCTTCTGCTTACCTGGGCCTTTAAACAAATTGTGTGTTGAGTGTTTAAGGCTTGTGTGCTTGAGGACTCTAGGGGTTTGCTGCTTTAGGGCTTCAGGGTTTGAGAGTTGTAGGGCTTTTAAGGTTCCTTTGAACTTTCTTTCCGGACTTCGCCGTCGCTTTGTAAGGGTTTACCGGTCATTTATAGGGATTTACGACGGCTTAAAGGGCTATCTGGGACTCAGTCGAGGGTGACGGTTTTGGGCCTGAATAGATAGATGATACAAGAACTGCGTTTTATAGGGCCTTCAGAACAGGGTTCGGGGCCTAGTATACTTAGCGTAAGGAGAGGGGCTATGATGAGAATGTTCGGACCTGCCACACTACCGCCTGCCTCTATGCCCCAATATGCCGGCCGAGTGGCTCATCACGTCGCACACAGTACTCCTTGGCTCGAGGTTGGGGGAGCAGGACCAACAAGAAATCAACAAGAGACGGGAAAGAGAGAACCAAACAAAACTAAACCGGAGACCACCAGGATAGCAGCAAACAGATGGAACTCGCAATGCTCCAATATTAAGGTTTCGAGGATCCAAATGTCAAAAACAGTTGACCCTAAGTTAACCCCTAAATTAATCCTAATTCCAAAGCAATACATCCCAAACCCGGCACCCTAAATCCTGAATTCTATTTAATTCCCCTCTTGTCCTCTTGTAGTGCCCTTATAGTGCCCTTTGTAGCCCCCTTGTAGGAACCTTCTGGCACCCTTGCAGTAATGTCGGAGCCGTGGTAATTGAACTAGGGTTTTGGGGTAGATTATTCTATCAATTGTAATAAGGACCCCCCAAAAAAATATCATGGGTAAGTAACCTGAACCCTAAAACCCAAACCAAACCCTAAACCCTAAACCCTAAACCCTAAACCTTAAAACCCTAAAACCCCAAACCAAACCCTAAACCTTAAAACCCTAAAACCCTAAAACCCCAAACCAAACCCTAAGGAGCCGAAATGACCCGTATAGTAACCTGATGCAGATCAGGATCCTGCTCTTCAGCAGATTCGGAGCAACGGCCGCGGATACTGGCGCACGGCGGATGATACGGTTTAGGGTTTAGGGTT